AGACAGAGGATAGAGGGGTGGAGGCCAGTGTCTGGGGGAAGTGGGGGAATAGGAGTGACTGCTAATGGGTATGAAGTTTCTTCCTGGGATGGTGTTCTGGAATCAGATAGTATTGATGACTGCACAACTCTGTGAACAGGCTAAAAACCACTCAACTGTACAGTTAAAAGCAGGACGTTGATGATATGTAAATTACTTTTATAAAGCTGTTATTTAAAAAGTGATAGAGCTGAAAATATTCATATTAATTACAGATCAAGTTCTGGGACAGAAAGAGTCCTGGGGGGTTCTAATCTGCCAATATCAGGACAAAAAGATATAAGATGGTTATAATGCTTTGATTTTAAAGAGGAAGGTAAAATTTATGAAGAGGGTTTACCATGAAGCAAATTCAGCTTGTATTTCAGGATGCCTTAGTGTCCTGGGCCAAGAAACTTGATTTTGTAATTTCATTTTCTTTTTCTTAAGAAGAGCCTCTGAAATCAAAGAAGGCTCAGGCTCTGTTAAACCTTCATCTGTGCCTGTCAGTCCTGCAGAATCATACAAGCGGGATAAAGGACAGGTGAGGTTCAGAGACCTCCAGAATGCCAGGACGAGTTTTTCTCGGTGAGTTTCATTCATTGCAAGTTACAGTGAGAGCCGCACATTTCTGTTTTCTGCTCCTCTGCTGTGGGAACGTTGTGAATATGTTAAGAACTTAGAATCCTGGTCAACAGGAGTCCATGTGCCCTCTTTTCACTAACAGACCGAGTGTTTGCTTGGTCACTGAGTTAGACACACTTCAAAAGGATCAGAGGCCTCAATACAGAGATAAAGATAATTGTCAGGTTATGTGGTCATGTTCATGTTCAGAATTTCTCACAGCACAAATCCTCAAGACCAGAATTGGGATCATGATCTAGCATTCTGTAAAGAGCTGCCATGATCAAAAGATGAGGGTGGGCTGTGTCAGCATCATATAAGCAAGACACCTCATGCACAAAATGTTCACTGACTAGACTTCTCTGACCCACAGGGCCCTTGGCAGAAGGAATATCTTTTCAGGAAACCATCTTCATGGGACTCACAGCAGCAGCATTTCTTGAGCAACCATAAGAGTTGGAAAAGTCAAGGGAAGAGAGTGTAAAGCTCCCAGTCACTAAAGATGGAGTGTCTGCATGTGAAACTCAGCAAGACACAAAATTCTGGTCTGGATTATAAAAATCAGACAGTAGGTTCAAGGTCATACATTCATCCATGAACGAGGTGCCCTGGGAGTTTTCATCAACATGTTGTGACATATTTCAGCATATATCAACTGGACTGTCATTGAACAGAGTTAATGTCACTTCCAGGAATTCTGTGCCATCTGGAGAAATGTGAGTGGGCTAAAAACAGGCATTTCTGGAGAAGGTCTTTTGGATTCCTCTTTTCACTGTCCCCTCCCAGATGCCTCTCTGTAGACCAATCGAAGAATTCCAGGGTTCTTGGCACTGAGCTTCAGAGCTGGAAGTGCTTTGATGATGCCTCTGGCATAAAACAGGGGCTTCCCAGGTGGCTCAGTGGTAAAGAATCTGCCTGCCAAACAGGAGACATGGGTACCATTCTTGGGTTGGGATAATCCCCAGGGGAAAGAAATGGCAACCCGCTCCAGTCTTCTTGCCTGGGAAATCCCATGGACAGAGAAGACCACTACAGTCATAGGGTCGCAAGAGTCGGACATGACTTAGCAAATAAACTACAACACAGCTAGCATAAAACACTGAAGACAGAAACAACAACCCCCTTCCGGGTCTGCCCACAGCCGGAGCCCCATCTGCGCTCTGGGCTTGTGCTCAGCTCCCCCTGCAGCCCTGAGTCACGTCTCACTCGGAGGACAGGAGCACACAGCCGAGGCTGATGTTTGCACTGCCCGTCTCTGCAGGTGGAGCTGTCCCTCTTAACAAGAGTGGCCTGAAAACCTTCATGCTCAGGCCTCTGGTTTGTCATCAAGCCCTTCAGGAGGCGTTGAGGAGCTTTGTTGAGATGCTGGATGTACCAGAAAAGATAGGGGGCCGAACCAGCAGTCTGGAAAGTGCAGTTCAGGGTCATGAGAGCCCCCTCTGAGACAGTCACTGGGCCTTCAGTCTGGTTCACTGAGTCACCATTGGTCCCTCCTACAAGAGAATCACTTTGTTATCATAGAAATGCACAGGAGGAGAGTTTTCAGCCAGAGAAGAAAAATAAAGCTTACCTATAATCATAGGAAAATGAAAAATCATTAACATTTAGGATAAAATGTTACTTGCTGAATATTAAGATGATCAGAAGAACTGAGTGAGTGGCAGAATGCATGCTGGCAAAAGAAAACCGTCCTTGTTGCCTGGAATACACCAGTCTAACGAATCTAGTCTCCATCTGGATGTTACAGAAGCTCCTCACTCAGAAACGGAGAGCCCCTTTCTGCACCATAGCAGTGTTCGGTCTTGTGGCCGCAAAGTAGGCAAGTGAAACACGCTCCTGAACACAACGAGGAGCCGCATCTGAAGGAAGCTCCGCCCTCTGGTGGTGATCGTGAAAATTGCACCACAGTCAGGTCTGACCTATTTCTCCTAATAGCTTGTGGGATTACATACAGGAGAATGGGACAGGACCCTAAGAAGAGAGTCCTAAACATAAGCGTGCTTAGGCAAACTATTATTACTTCCATAATTTTTTGATTGTACAGGTATCTCTAGATTCTCAAGAAACCCCAGTTACAATTTCTAGATGGAATAGTCAGAGATTTCTTCCTTCCATGTCTCCAAGATTCCCATGAATCAGAGAAGGATCTCCCTGAATGGAAAGTGCTCCTTCCTCTCCTCAAGTTCTTTGTCTGAATTAGCTCTGTTCATCCCCAAGACTCAGTCAACATACCATGGAGGAAATCTTATCTACAGCAGGTCTCAAATAATATGTGGTTGAATGATAAGGTTATTATTACATACCCTACCATCATAAAATGACATGTTTTTAAAAATACCAAAAAAAAAAAAATTACCGTTACTTCTTTTTCACAGTTAAAGGTAGAGTTGATCTTACAACTAGAAAACTGGACAAAATACATGAAACAAATTTTGTCTGTAATCCCACTAGCCTGGACCCAGAGATGTGGAATGAGAGATCAGACCAGAACTGTATCAGAGAGCTAATACAGTTACCACCAAGGAATAAAACCTGCTTGAATACTTTTTTTTCCACTGTAAGATTTATTTTTGTCTTTTCATCTCCCTCTCCCTTTCTCTGGACTGTTTATCAAGATGTTGAAGCCCCAGTGTTCAGGTGGCCAACACCCAGTGTGCAGACTCTAGGATGTTAGGGAGGAAGTCTGCACTGACCTTCAGGTAAGTGTCCAGACATCCACCCTGTTAAATGAGGATGGGGACTACATCCTCTAGGACAATTAAAACTATTCTAACTATTAAACTCTGTATTTTGATTACTATGTTTACAAATTATGAGATGACAAATAATCAGTGTCTAGGCCACAACTCCCTGACTGCCTAGCAGTAAACCTTATATCTTTTCACACCTTCTGGTCCCCCACTCTCCTTCCAGAAAGTCTGGTCCCCAAAGGCACTGACAAGAGTTCCACCTTCAGAGAAGCAGAGGGGATGCTCTGTGCAATGGGCATGATTGTTGCAGACATGCAGAGCACTGACCCAAGTGGCTCCACATTCCTGCTCATGAGCAGAGGAGCGGGGAGATGTTCCTGCCTTGGGAGTGGGTGATACTTGCTCCTAGTTTCTTGGAGCAGGTGAAAAGCTCACTCCACTCCAAAGTTATTGTAAAAGTACATAAACACTTTTTCCATGTATCAGAAGTCTGACTGACTGATGAATGAATTTCCCCTGAGGTGATGTTATTACTGCAAAGAGAATATCCTGCACCCTGTTTGAATACAAACTATACACATCATGCATGCAATATTCACCAACTGGACTGCTTTGACCCACAGGGCCATTGACAGAAGGAATATCTTGTCAGAAAACTCTCCTCCTGGAACTTACTTAGGTAGCAGCATTGCTGTAGCAACCAGAAGGGAAGGAAAAGTCAAGGGAAGAGAGAATAAAGCTCCAGTCACTGAAGATAGAGTGTCTGCAGGTGTATCTCAGCAAGACATACAATCCGAGTCTAATTATAAAAACCAGAGACTACCTTCCAGATCACACAGTCATCCGTTAACAATGTTCCTGGGAGTTTTCATTAACAGGTTGTGAAATATTTCAGCATATATCAACTGAATTGTCACTGAAGAGTTAATGACACTTCAAGGGATTCTGTGCCTTTTGGGGGAATGTGAATGGGCTGAAAACAGGCATTTCTGGAGAAAAGCGCTTAGGTTCCTCTTTACGCTGTGCTGCCCCAGATTCCTCTCTGTAGGGCAATCCAAGAATTCCAAGGTTCTTAGCTCTGAGCTTCAGAGCTGAAAGTACTTTGACGATGTCTCTGGCATAGAACTCTGGAGAGCTGCCCACAGCCTGACCCCACCTGTGCCCTTGGGTTTGCGTTCAGCTCCCCCTGCAGCCTCCGTCACTGTGTCCCTGAGAGCGCAGTAGTACACAGCTGAGTCTGATGTTTGCACGGAGGATTTCTGCAGGTGGAAGGAGCTGTCACTCGAGGTATGAGTGGCTTCAAAACCTCTGCTGGTCACCTGGTTTCCTAATGAGCTTCTCAGGAGCAACTCAAGCTCTTTGTTTTGGTACTGGACATACCAGAAAAGAGCAACTGAATAGCTGGACTGGTAAGTACACGTCAGAGTCAGAGGTGCCTTCTCGGGGAGGGTAACAACGCCTTCTGTCTGGGTCACCGAGTCTCCACTGGTCCTTCCTTAAAAAAAAAAAAAAGCAACACACACACACACACACACACACACACACACACGGTAAGACTTTGTTAAGTTGGCTAAGGAAGAGAGACCATCTCCCACTTCATAGAGGTTACATAACATCCTAAACCCAAGGAATAGAACATCTTAGAAATTTTAAATAAATGTTACTCACGCATTGTCAACAAGATCGCAAGTCCTAAGCACAAAGCAGACAGCATAGCTGGCTCAGAAGCAGTGGGAGACTGAGTTTGGGGATACAGGAAAGTTGAAAAAAACTATTCCTCTAGTTTCTTGATCTTCTGTTGAAATCTTCAAGAAAATCTTGGTTCATGCGTTATGCAAGCCAAACTCCCCTACACAATCATGCTGTAGGCTGAGCAAGAGAGAAATGTTCTCAGAAATGAAAAATGAATTGATATCAAACCACCAGCGAGGGAGAGCAGCGCCCTCTGTCGTTCTCCCTCTGTTCCTGCAGTCTGCTGTACGTCTGGTATTTACACTGAAAAAAAGCTCAAGTTGTAGGCATAGAAGGGAAATAGGTATCCGAGACGTGCGTAGGGCTCAAGGAAGAAAGCACCAAATAATTTCTTCAGACTTAGCAATGGTGCCCGAGGTTGAGGCAGTTGGTAATTCCTCTGTCTTTAAGATGCAGAGAAATACAGTTCCCTTAAGACTTTCCAGACCCAGCATCTATTGTCTGATCACATTGAGCAATAAGCTCGTTTAAGAAACTTAATTACAGTATGAGTGTGAAAAAAGACTGTACTGAGATCTCTTCTTGTCATTTCCCTCACTGGTCCCCTAGAACTAGGGGATGAGCTGTCTCTGCTTAGAATGTTCTTCCTTTCTGCCCAGAATCTTCGCCTAGGCAACTTTTTATTCCTTCTTTAAGAACCAATTTACATGCCAACTCCTTATGAAAGTACTGATCCAGTCCTTCAGGCTGAGTTAGGACCCACCTCTTCCCACCATACCTTGTTTGTACATATATCACTGTCATTTCTACACCATGTTGGAATCATCTGTGTGTTGTTTTTCAAACTAGGTTTGATGCACCTGAGGTCAGGAACTTATTAATCTCAGTGGCCAACTTCTCAAAATACACAGAACACTAGTTCAGAGCAAATGGTTTAAAAATATTTGAAAAGTGAATAAGTGAATGAGTGGACATGTCCGGGTGTACAATGATCTGTTTATTAAGTATAGTCTCTACAAGAAACAGTTCTCAGGCCCGTGGTGTGATGAGCTTCTTTCAGACGCATGTCTAGGGTCTGAACACAGGGGCATTAGGTATTTCTCAAAACTAAGACACAGTTCTTCATATAAGAGACCACTCTCATATGGACTATTTAAAAAATATTATAGCATTAACCCTAATGTTGGGAAGGATTGGGGGCAGGAAGAGAAGGGGATGACAGAGGATGAGATGGCTG